CCCCCTCCTTGGGGCACCTGGCTGGCTCAGTCGGTAGAGCATGTGACTCTTGATCTCAGGGTTATAAATTCAAACACTATGTTAGGTGTAGAGATTACTTAAGAATAAAATCTTTAGGGGAGCCAGGGTAACTCAGTCGGTTAAACGTCTGACTCTTGATTTCAGCTGAGGTCATGATCTCACAATTTGTGAGCCCTGTGTTGGGCTGACAGCTCACAGCCTGGACCCTGCTTTGGATTCTCTTTCCTCGCTCTCTGCCCCTCCCCTGCTTGTGTGCTCTCTCTCTCTCTCTCTCTCTCTCAACAATAGTAAACTGTAGGGGCGCCTGGGTGGCTCAGTCGGTTAAGCGTCTGACTTTGGCTCAGTTCGTGATCTCACAGTCTGTGAGTTTGAGCCCCGCATCAGGCTCTGTGCTGACAGCTCAGAGCCTGGAGCCTGCTTCGGATTCTGTGTCTCCGTCTCACTCTGACCCTCCCCTATTCATGCTCTGTCTCTCTCTGTCTCAAAATAAATAAACATTAAAAAAAAAACTTTAAAAAAAAATAGTAAACTGTAAAAAATAAAATCTTTTTTTAATGTTTATCTTTTATTTTTAATTTTTTAGCATTTATTTACTTTTGAGAGACAAAGGGAGGCAGAGCATGAGCAGGGGAGGGGCAGAGAGAGAGAGAGAGAGAGAGAGAGAGAGAAAGAGAGAATCTGAAGCAGGCTCCAGGCTCTGAGCTGTCAGCACAGAGCCCAGTGTGGGGCTGGAACCCATGAACCGCAAGATCATGACCTGCGCCGAAGTCAGACGCTTAACCGACCGAGCCACCGGGGCATCCCTAAAATAAAATCTTAAAAAAAAAAAAAAAAAATTGGAACCCTCCCCTCCCCTAACGTCCGGGTGAGTGTTAGACTAGTTGCGTTATTTCTACGGGGACATACCAGTGCCGACAGTAGTGCAGGGAGGTGGAGAGAATATGGAATCAGAAGGCTCTTGGTTTCAGCTTTGACTCTTGCTAATCACCGTCGTAATCTGGGGACAGATAACTTAGATTCTGAGCCTGATTTTGGCCGTCAAAGCACTCTAAAAGTTACCTTTCAACTTACCCAAAAATATAAGAGCACAAACAAAAACAAATTCTGTCAGCTCACTCTCTCTACGGGCTAAGTAAACTGTACTACCTCAGTTCTAAAGAGAGACATAAACAAAATCGCAATGCTGATCCTCAGCACATGGTCTTAGTTAAAATAAAAGTATACACTTCAGTACTGTGTACCTGGATTGTATCCTATTCTCCTAAAAAGTGTTTGGAAGTGGGGTCTTGGCTAGGTTGTCTCCTCATGACATAGAAGCTGTTGCATGTACAGCTGATCACCTTACTGTCCATTGCTGAAAGGGATGAACTGTAATGAACAGGCTTTAAAATTCACGCGTGATCATTTATCGTGGGTCTACCGTGTGCCAGGCACACTCTTTTTTTTTTTTTTTTTTAATTTTTTTTTTTCAACGTTTATTTATTTTGGGGACAGAGAGAGACAGAGCATGAACGGGGGAGGGGCAGAGAGAGAGGGAGACACAGAATGGGAAACAGGCTCCAGGCTCTGAGCCATCAACCCAGAGCCCGACGCGGGGCTCGAACTCACGGACCGCGAGATCGTGACCTGGCTGAAGTCGGACGCTTAACCGACTGCGCCACCCAGGCGCCCCGAGGCACACTCTTAAGGGTGGGGGAATCAGAATAACATTGCTGTCTAACGAATCAGTCTAGCAGTGGAATGTATAAACCGATACGTTAGAAGATACCATGCGAGTGTGTCACTAATGGTATAAATCCACAGCCATGCCAGAAATCTGGGAGGAATAATACTCACCTGGGAGACTCTGGGAAGACTGTGGCGGAGGTGATGCTTGAGCCGAATCTTGAGAGGTGAGTGGAAATTTGCCAGGTGAAGAAAGAGAAGGGTATTTACGAGCAGAGGGAATAGCATAGCTCATGAAAGTGCCTGGCACGTTTGAGAAATGGTGAGGAGAGAGATTTTGTGAGGGGGGAAGGGAGACGGACGGATAGCTTGGGGCTAGCACATGGGGAGGCTTCTTAGGCCACATGAATGGCTAATCACCCCTTCAGGTAATGAGGGGTGGGGGGGCACAGGTAGTGCGGGATGTATTGTGTGTTATGCTTTGTTTTTAAAATTTTGTTTTGTATTTTTTTTTAAATTTTTAAAATGTTTATTTTTATTTTTGAGAGCAAGAGACAGAGAGAGAGAGAGAGAGATCGCGCATGAGCAGGGGAAGGGCAGAGAGAGAGGGAGACACAGAATCCGAAGCAGGCTCCAGGGTCTGAGCTGTCAGCACAGAGCCCAACTCAGGGCTGGAACCCATGGACTGCAAGATCATGACCTGAGCCGAAGTTGGATCCTCAACTGACTGAACCACCCAGGCACCCCAAGGTTTTATTTTTAAGTAATCTCTACACCCAGTGTGGGACTTGAACTGAGGTCAAGAGTCACATGCTTCACCAACTAGGCCAGCCGGCGCCCCGTGTGTGTGTGTGTGTGTGTGTGTGTGTGTGTGTGTGTGTGTGGTGCTTTTAAGGTAATGGGAGGTCATGTGGAGGGAGTATATAACGTGGGAGTAGGGAAAAACAGGTTAGGAGACAAATAGGAGGTGGGAGCGGGAAGGCTGGCTCTGAGAAGCGTTTCTGAAAGAGAAGAGACAGCATGTGGTAAACACTGGTTGTAGAGGCTGAGGGAGAGGCAGAAATGGAGTAGGACTTTGAAGTTGCTCAGTACAAGGGAGACTGGTGGCTGGTGGTACTGTTCATTGAGGTGCAAGAACAAGCAACAAGATGGGTTTTCTGCTCCAGGGTTCTTCTGATTAGAGAGTGACCACTAACATTGGCACAGGTGGTCAGGGACCAAACAAGAAGACAGGATGTCCGCGTCTGAGAAACTGGAGCAAGCCTGCCTCAGAATGAAACCACCGATCTCAACTGCCACGCTTTGGGCTCAAGGTAAAACACCCTTTAAAAGCTGTTATCTAGAATATGTCCCATCTACTGCACACCTCTTTTTTGGTTACGCTGTGCACCATCTCCACTTGAAAGACTGTGGAGTGGGAACGTCAGAGCCAGATTACCCAGGCAAGTGACCTCAGACAAGACGCTTAAACCTCCCTCTGCTTCGGCTTCCTCATATGCAAAATAAGAAGTTCTTCACGAGGCTGTTATAAGAATGATATGAGTTCGTATATATAAATGTGTGCCTGGCACAAAGTCAAGTACCTGATAAGCACTTGCTATCATTATTAATAAGTAACAGAATGCTCAACTAAACATGGTACAAATGTTAGAGACTTATTACGGAACGAGATTGGAAGCGGACGGTTCCAGAGCTGGTGCTGTTGCTTGATAACCAAGTTGTCAAGGACCAGACTCTTCCCAAATCCCATTTTGCCATGCTCAGCTTGTTAGCGATTTCTCACCTCATGGTGGCAGAAAGACTGCAGTAGCTCCAAGTATCAAGTCCTTACTCAACCAACATTCCAAGCAGGAAATAAGGGGTTGGGGTGGGGGGGAGGGGGGCTTTCTTCTTTGTGTAACCCTCACTTATCAAGGAGGAGAATCTTTCCTAGAAGCCCCCAGTAGGTTTCCTTTCAGCTAGAACTGGGCCACAGGCCCATTCCTAACTTCAAGAGAGGCTAGAAAAGAATGTGACACTTCTAACCTACAACAAATGAGGCAAAAGTGGAATTGGGGTTGGCTGTTGCTTGTATTGCCTGCCACAGTCTGAGAACCAGAGTTTCAAGGATGCCTCACTCAGGCCAGGGGTAATTGAGAAACAAGGACATAGATGTATTTATTGAGAGTGAGTCAGCCATAGGGTTCACCTTTCAGAGGCCATCAGCTTTTTTGAGAATAGCTTTTTAACCCAGGTGATTGTCCTATTGGTAAAATATGGAGAAAGGATATTTTTGAGCAAGGGGTCCTTTCTAGTATTCTTGCTTCTTCTAGGCTGTCACTATCCCTAGGAGGGGGCTCATAATTCAGTTCACCTTTATTTAAAAGGTTGCCCACGCCATTCACTGTTAAAATTACTTACAAGAAAGTACAGGCTGGCTTCCTTCCCTTTCACTGCCCCTTGCAGCAGTCTCTGCCACAATGACAGGTCTAATGGGCAGGGAGAGCTATGTGAGAAGAGCTACTCTTTCCTCCTTAGAAGTTGGTCTTAAATCCAGCTGTTCCCCTGCAATCCACATCCCCACGTTCACTGCCGGAGTTTGGGCCCCAAGCATCTTTCATCCAGGCTCCTGTTCGAGTTTCTCCTTCGCAAGAAAGAAGGCAATGCAGTAAGGTGGAAAGAGAGCTACGAAGGAACCAGAAGAAAACTTCTGTAAGCACCCAGAGAAAGCCTTATTCCCACTGTCCAATTCTGCTAACAAAGACAAGGAGAAAATTTTAAATTCCAAGGCACTTAGTTACTGATCTGATTCTGGCCTGCATGTGGATATTCAATAAATACTTGTTAAATTAAATTGATTCAAGGTTTTATTTATTCAGCCTACTTAAAGCTTATGTAAACCCCTTGGAGATTTGTGTCAAGCTGTTAAATTGGAAAATATATGAAAGGTAGTATTTTCACTAGACCAGCTTTCCTCTTAATGAGCTTTATGAGCTTAATGTAGATGGGTGTGCATGCGTGTGTGTGTGTGTGTGTGTGTGTGTGTGTGTGTGTCCAGGAGAGAAGCAGAAGGAGGAGGTGAGGAAGAAACAGGAGAAAAGCCTGTTTCTGTCATTTCCTACATTTGTCTTCATTGCTATACTTATAAACCAGCTACTGCCCTCTAGTGCTCACTGTATAAAGTTCACTCCCAAATTCCATTTGTATCTTTAAAAACCCTGGTGACTCCAGGAAGGGACAACCTCTTCTTTTGCAGATAAGCAAACTGAAGTCCAGAGACTCAGATGTCAAACTGACCCAGGCAGCTTCCTGGATTCTTAGTCACCTCACTGTAATTCGTCCGGCAAACTATTTTTATTAAAGGCATTGCTCAGGCATTTCAATAGCTAATCAATAAAAAATTACAGCATACTTATTGTATGCTGAAACTGATATAACACTGTATGTTAACTATACTGGAATAAAAAATAAATGAATTTTTTAAATGCACATAAAAATTACAGCACAGTAATCATTTAACAATAATTGTAAGCGTTATCCATTGTTTCCAATGTTATTCCACGTAAAGCCAAAATTGACTGTTTGCAAAATTTACATAAGGATTTATAAATAACACTGTTATGTTTTCAACTTGGTAAAGTTTAGAATATTCCTGTATTACTTTTTTTTGCGGGGGGGGGGGGGGCCAGAATAGTTAACTAGAATGGACCCAAAGTAGATTTGGCTGTTTAGCAAAAGTGACTTATCACTGTCTCCATGTAGATAATAATCTTCTGCTAGAATTCTCCCAAAGGAACCTCTTTGCTCACTGATGGGAAAAGGGGGGGGGGGTCACTTTAACTTAGAACACATATTTTCATCATTTAATCATTTTGCTGGTGGGAATAAACTGAAAGTTATCCAGCTGGATGTGTCACTTACAAGAACATTACTGAGTAACAAAAGATTTATTCAAATATTTAATTGGAAGGAAATACATCTGGAATAAGTTTTATTGGAATTCATATAAAAAGGAAAGTAAATCTATTAGAATTAATACCATAAACAGTTGACTTTATCTGGAACCAGAAATGCTAATGAACTGCAGCCTAGAAGTCCTAACCACTTTTCCTTGCAAACAGCCAGTCATTTTGCAATTTATATGCCAATTATACTTTATTACTTTAGGTAGAGCTTTGTTTTCAGCGAATATTTTGGAGATAGATCACTCAAATTACCTAATTCGTTTCCTTTCTCCCATTGTCTGAAAAAAGCAAGCAAAAAGAAAGTGGTAGGGGGCATTTGCCTGTCTTCAAGACACTTCAAAAATCCTGCTAAGATCAGCAAGTCAGTAGAAAGTCACTGTGTTTGGACTACCAGGAAGAACATGAATTAAGAGACATCTAGTTTCCCCCTTAGATGTCAACATAGATCCCATTGATCAAATAATCAAGTCTTGAATAGCGTCTCCTGCGGAGAGATTCTGAGAACATTCTACCCAAGAGGACAAGGCCTATGGCTAGGAACAGAACACCAAAGAGCAGGGTCCCAATGAGGAGCCATTTTTCAAATGGGAGGCCATGCTGACTTTCTGGAACACTCTTCAGGGAGGAACCACCTGGACTGGCCTTCCCATTTTCCTGAGAAGCACTTTTATTCGGAGCAGAAGAATCCACATTTGACAGAAGTAATGTGGCAGCAGAAGAATCCACAGTTGACCAAGAAAGCGTAGCAGGGTTATAGGCATCCTCTGTGTTCAAAGACAGGTTGGAAATTTCTCTAACCGGCACTGTTTCTGGGGGGCCTTTCCAGTCCGTAGGTGCCTCAAAGATGGTGTTTGAGACTGTTGTCGTAGTTACGCCAGCTTTGGGTGTAACTTCGGCATGTGTCAACATTGTAGACAAGAGGCTTGTGGGGGGCTGAGACGTGACCACAGCTAGGGGTGGAGCTGAGGTGGCCCCCTCTGGTTCAAAAGTCACAGAAGGTATCACCGGAGCATTGGTGGTGGGGGGAAATGCAGGCTTTGGAGAGGCAGAGGTGATATGCTGAGAGGAAACAGCCTTGGTAGTGGGGAGTGTTGTCACCTTTTCGGGCAGCAGATGAGCTATGTTTTGTTCTGAAGAAAACTGTGAACTCTGAGAATGGCCCTTTTCTTTATCAACAGGGAACCGTGTACTCGCTTGATCAATCTCGAATAGTTTCTCCAAGTGATCTGAGGACCCCAACTTCTGAGAAAAGGCACCTTTCTGTAAGCTGTCAGTGGACTCTGAATAACCTGTCACAGGAGGGGGTGTGGGAGTGATCACCTGCGGAGACTGGCCATGGATGAGAGAACCTTCTTGGGTAAACTCTTGGCTTGGCAAATGAGTTCTAGCCAGAGCTGGAAAGTCTGAAAATGTAGAGAAAAGTTAAAGGGAGACTTAAATATTTCCATGCGAAGGCAGGTTAAAAAAAGACAAACATATCAGCTTGTTCAGTAAATCCCCAAACTGTTGAAACTTGACATTTCATAGAAACTTGCGCAAAATGGAAAAATACAAATTGCTAAATCAGAATCTGATGACACTGCCTCTCTACCAGATGCTGTGGTTTATTTCTAGAGTGGTGGGACAGAGGAGAAATGTGTGGAGGAGGACCAGGCAAATGAAGGAAGAGCTGGGAGGAGCAGAGCAAGGGGGCTAAGAGGAGTTCAGGAGCCGCAGCAAGAGGTTTAGGAAGATGGAGACACTTAGGGGGCCGATGCCAGGGAAGAGGGCTGGGCCAGGGCAACAGGGCTGGAAGACGAGTGGCAGAGAGAAACTCCCTGGGACTGACAAGACAGCTGGGAAGGCAGCAATCACCGAGAGAGATTTCGTAGCAAGGGCACCCGCAGGCGAGAAAGGCAAGGGGGAGCGGAGGCAGAATCCTTGCAATTTGCCTGCAACAGGGTGGAGGCGGAGGGGCCGGGAGGGAAGGTCTGGTCTCCTCCCAGGGCACTGAGGCCACAGCAGCAGCAGAAGGCTGATGACACAGTGTCCAATCAAAAAACAGGTTTCAGCACCACACACGGGGGAGGGAGGCAATTTGGGAGATTTCATTGTGACTCTCAAGGATTAAAATTTCAGAGCCAATGTCTTAGAGTCTGAGGACTGTGGGACCAAATTTGAAATTAGGATGGCCACAGTGCTGATAGAAAGAGCCGAAAATCACACAATTCCGAGTGCTGGCTACGGAGGGACCAGCCTCACATCCTCCTCACGGTGACAGAAAGCTTAGAATTATGCTCTTAGTCTCACACACCATTCATCACAGCTCAAATTGGGAAGGCTTGTGGGAGCCATCAGGGGCAGGGAAGGATCATTTGAATTGCTCTGTATCACTCTGCTACTTGGCTGATCATTTTCACTTAGATCTGAACTGCAGAAAACACAAGGAAGGAAGAAAAGGAATTTCTTAGCATTTCCTTGTTCATTCTTCCCTGTTCTCTTTCCCCCTTTCTTCTTCAACTCCTCTCAGTGCCAGTGTCTGAACTAGATTCCATTCTCTTCTCTGCTAACAAACATCCAGAGGCGACCTCTGATTTGTAATATCTTCGATTACTCTGTAAGCATCACACCTGGAACAGGTCCTTTAGAACGGTCACTCCGTAATCCGTCTAGGACAGGGGTCAGCAAATTATGGCCCGAGGGCCAAATCTACCTTGTCACTTCTCTTTGTATGGCTTATGGGCTAACATATACATTTTTAAATGGCTGACAAAAATAAAAAGGAATAATATTTTGTGACACATGAAAATTATATAAAATTCAAATTTCAGTGTCTATAAATAAAGTTTTATTGGCATGTAACCATGCTCATTTGTTTATGCACTGTCTGCAGGTACTTCATACTATAAGGACAGAGGTGAATAGATACAACAGATTGCATGTGGCCCATAAAACCTAAAATACTGGCCTGGAGGGGCTCCTGGGGGGCTCAGTCGGTTAAGCATCTGACTTCGGCTCAGGTCATGATCTCACGGTTCGTGGGTTCGAGCCCCATGTCGGGTTCTGTGCTGACAGCTCAGCTCAGAGCCTGGACCCTGCTTCAGATTCTGTGTCTCCCTCTCTCTCTGCCCCTCCCCCACTCATGCTTTGTCTCTCAAAAATAGATAAATGTTAAAAAAAAATTAAAAAAAAAAAAACATACTGGCCTGGAAAGCCTAAAATACTTCTCATTTGGCCCTTGACAGAAAAAGTCTGCAGACACCTGCTCTAGGATATAGTACTTTACCCCAAAATAGAATTCGGATGATTGAAATTCCTCTTTCCTCCAACAATGCTGGAGAAAAGAGTTTCTGCTGCAGGTTACATCACGATGATAGATATAACATCACCATAAGATAAACAGCATCTCTATTTTTAGGTAGCATCAGATATTTTTCAAAAAGAACAGGACTCAACATATTCCATTTTAAAGTTAAAAAAAAAAAAGACTAAGTAAATGCGATGTGTGTGAACTCAGAACTTAAATAAAGCCATTGACAAGAATGACCAAAACAGCTGCTTTCTTTCTCAAGAATGTCAGTTCATAAATAAAGCAAAGCAAGGGCTAGTCCCATTTCTTGATAAGATTCATCTACTGGCAAGGATCCTAGAGGCACGCAGGGATCCTGTGCACCTGCTCCCTTCACCTCACCCACTGATGTTTGCCACTGGGGTGTGGTGCTTTTTCTCGCTCGCACAGAGATGAGCCAGCGGGGACTGCAAAACAGCCCTGTGCGCTCAATCTCTCTTTTGAGTTTCATTTTCAAGTGACTTGATGAAATAAAAAACTTAGGGACTGACTATTACTTGGAAACCAGCTGAGCAAACAGACTCCCAATTTATTGTTTCTGAACTTCCCTTATTCTAGTCCTCGGTAGAAATGACACACTGCAAAGCTGGGAAAAAAATTAAATAATTCCAAGTTGCAATGGTTTTATAGAATGAACACAGTACACTATCATCTTTCAAGCTTTTGGTCTGTAAATATTAGCCCATCCGTTATAGGAAATGGAATTCATCTGGAAACAAACCACCCAACAGATATCTATTAATTTCACTCTAAACAGGAAGCAGATAATTTATTTTGGTGGAGACTCTCAGTCCATCAACATGGGCAGATTCATAAAGAGAATTACAAACACAATTTGTAAACATCCTGTATGTATAAAGCCTGCAGCACATGATGTCCAGGGTCCATGCCACTTTGCTCTTCAACCTGCTCTGGGCTGATGGCGCCCCCTGGTGGCTGCCACAGGAACTGTTTAATTCTAATCCGACTTTATGACCTTCACAGCCTCCCAGTAAAGATTTACACACATGCCAAAGTTCCCTTTTCTCCCATTTCCACTGGAGAGAATCTTTAGCTCATATTCCCTCTTTTACACATGGATTATAAAAGCAACAACATTACAGAAGTATATGGAAGTTATAAAACAAATTCAACTATGGTTTTTATCATTATGTCTCAGCAACCATTAACATTTCTGTGTGCCTTAGAGTTAAATTTTTTTTCATGTATTTGAAAAACAACCAGGTGTTTTTCACCTGGAATTTTGTTTATTTATATACCTCAAACTTATCTTTTTTTAAGTTTATTTATTATGAGACAGAGAGCGGGAGAGAGAGAGAGGGAGAGAGAGAGAATCCCAAGCAGGCTCCACACCGTCAGCACAGAGCCCGACGAGGTGCCCGAACCCACGAACCGTGAGATCGTGACCTGAGCCCAAACCAAGAGCGGGACGCTCAACCTCTCTCAAATGGATCCATCATATTTTATACCCAACCGTTCTCAGGCAACGGGACACTTATGCTGCTCCTAGTTTTTTACTTTTCAAACGAATTTCACACACAAAAAAAAACATGCTTCAAAACAATAGCTTTTTCTTGTTTTGGTCTTGCTTCTTTAAGGTTTTATGAAAGTAGAATTGCTAGATTAAGTTACCTGTAATTTCTTTAATGTTGCGCTTTCGTTATGAAATAGAAGACAGATACAGGGAAGCGCGCTGATAGTAGAAGAAGGGGCAGAATGAAGAAGAGGTAGTGAGAAGGGATAACAGAGGCGGAACGTTGCAGTCCAAATGCCACACGATGGGAGTTCCAGAAGAAGAACAAACATTCCGGTTAGTGTCTTGAGCCCTGACCTCTTTGGACACTAAGACTGGAATATCCATTTGCTGTTGAATTACCACCCCTGGCTATCTAACAGGCTCTGCGATGTTCCAGGTGATCCAAGAGGAACAGCAAGAAGTATCACCACCACACTATAGGCTCCCAGATGATTTACACACAGGCACAAAGGGAAGGAGCCATGAAGATCTGGGGCAGCCAGAAGATCTGCCCACTGATGCCCCAAAAGGGCAGGACAAGACAGTGTCCACAGAAAGTAAGGTTTTAAGTGTTTTGAAAGGCTAATTTGTTCTATGCCTAGTGTTTTTTAAAAATCAGTATCTAAAAAAAAAAAATGTTTATTTATTTTGAGAGAGTGTGGGTGCAAGCAGGATGATGGCCAGAAAGAGACAGAGAAAAGCAGGTGACGTGGGGCTCAAACTCATGAACCACGAGATCATGACCAAGGTTTTGGCTCAAGGCGGTTCGTGAGTTGAAGCCCCATGTCGCCTGCTTGGGATTCTCTCTCTCCCTCTCTCTCTGCCCCTCGCCCTGCTGGCGCACACACTCTTTCTCAAAATAGATAAACTTTTAAAAATTTTTTAAAAATTGTAAACTGTGATAAAATGTACATACTATTTACCACTTTAACTCTGTAAGTATACAGTTCAGTGGCATTGAGTATATTCACATTCTCTGCAACTGTCATCCTCATCCATCTCCAGAGCTTTCTTCATCTAGCAAAACCGAAACTTTTGTACCTTATGCCAGTTTTCTTTTTTTTTTTTTTTAACGTTTATTTATTTTTGGGACAGAGAGAGACAGAGCATGAACGGG